GTTACTGTAAAGTGTAAAGTAGAATGTTACATATATAATAAATTTAAATACCGATAATTACGACTTAATCAAGGTTTTTTTTCTTGTAAGAACAAAAAAATCTAGTAGTCTGTTTTGTTCTGGAGAAAGACAGTGTTTCCGGAGGATAGTTGCTGAAAGTTCTGTTATAAAGTATGCAAAAAATACCTTTTTTTTAACGTTGGGAAATGAATTTACGCACGAGGTGTGGGACTCACCGGCAAAGCCAGTACTACCCACTAAAACCCAACAAAACCTCCCCCCGTCTTAATGGGGCGTCGCAGGATCGCTTACGCATTCAACTACGACGCTCCGACGGCAGGTCTGCCGAAGCAGACCACAACAACCACGGGGTTGCTCTGAGGTCCACTCTGCTATCAGAGAAGTACCAGGAGCAACCCACATGGTACACCGCCCACCGAAGAGGGCCACCTCCCACCGCCCACTGAAGTGGGCCATCTCCCTGTGCGTTTCTTGGCTTCGCGCCCGGTTGGATTGCCGGGCACAACTGAGCCCCCCACCACGACAAGGTGAACGCACGCTGGGGGGATGCAGAAATTACCTACTCCATAGATATCAATCCAAAAGTGTGTCGGTTTTTTTCACAATTAAATGTTTACATAACAAAGTTAAAAAAAAAACAATTTATTTTTAGGCAAAATAATGGATAGAAGTTTGTTAAATTCCAGACACATGTTAAATGTTTTTATTAACGAGCGACGTATCCTCGCTTCGCTCGGGTTCGTGCCTAGGTTGCTTCCCCATACAATTTCTGATTCCCATTTTCACCCTCTTAAGGGATGATTTCCGGGATTAACACTATCCTACGTCCTTCCTAGGATCTCAAACTATGTTTCTGATTATCTGATCTATAGTCTGATCTTGACGGGATTTTCATTGGCAGATAGCTGATGTTATAAGAAGTAACTTAGGCTACTTTTATTTTAGAAAAAGAAATAAGAGTTCCGCTCAGGAAAATTAAAACGTACTCAGGGACGCACCCGAGCGAAGCAAGGGTAAGTTGCTAGATATATATAATATGCTAGTACTTCGTATATGAATGTATTATTGTTGATAGATATAAATTTTATTTATTAAATATTACATACAATATATCAAAAGAGTTGTAAGATAAGTTAATTGTTAAAAAAAGTTATAATTTAAACAGTGGAACGTTGTACTGCTAGCGACATCTATTGAAGATAAAACACATTCTGTTTAATAAACTAAAAAGTAAAACGTCGAGATCTATATTTATACTGTTTATGTTCTATTTTTTTATTTGAATAAAAAACTGTCAGGGACTTTATTATCATATATAAAAAAAACCTATATATTATTACTAGTAATTAGTATATTACATATATGATCTGTGTTATCATGCATGACGTCGCACATGCAACATTTCAAGTGAGCGGTCTCGTGGTCTTTGAAGATAATTGTAGATGGCGCTAGTCAATTATATGTAATTAGAATTAGATACAATAATAATTACATAAAATATTCCAATCTTTGCCATTTTGTAGGTTTCTATATTTATCATATACCAATTTTCAAATACGAAACTGAATCGTATAATTAATAAAAACATCAATAAGTAAATGGAAGTAAGTCGACATTTTGTTTTGTGTCTATAAATATAAAAATAATAAAAAAATAATTAACCAAAAAAATATTAATACTTTTTCCTTTTGGAAAGTGTCTGGTGCCCTTGATACGAACTGGATCGGGTCGGCACCCCGGGTCCGAGCGTTCCGCTCTACGCTTCCGTCGCGCTTCGCCACACAGCCAACGACATCCTTCCTACCCTTAAATGAAACAATTTTTAACTACATTCCTCTGTCATCCGGCTTTAAATAATATTAATGGAGATTTTAGAAGTTTTCTTCCTGTTTTTTACACAATATTCTACCTAATTATGTAATGTTCGTGGTAGGATGCGGCTTGAAACTTGCACTTCAATTCAAATCGGTGGATCCAAAAAGTGAAACGTGATGTTTTTTGTTTATTCAGTAAAATATAATTATGTTAGTACTAAAAATAGTATTTTTAATTTTGATATGCACGATATTATAATTTACATAGGATTAGGTATATAGTATACAATTATCTCGGTGCCTTATTTAAGTACAATTTTATTCAAATTATACTAAACTCTTACCCATTACACGTGTTTAATAAAAGTAAGATGAAAGCGTGACGCAAAAGTCTACCATGTGTCGTCTTTTGATTTAGCGGAACCTCAAGAACTGGATGTTGAGTCACTTAGTTCTCTTATTCAACTTTGCACTTGGTAACTTTGTCCTTAGTGGTATCCCCTTGAGCGGGTGAATTTTCAAAAATAATTACTCAATGCTGTCGTGTCAATGTCGTTACAATATAAGGAATTCGTGCGTTTTCTGTCAGCGAGTGAAATTAAAAAAAATATTTTTTATAGATTTGGCTATTAAATACTATCAGTGAAGATACCTATGTAGATTTCTTATGAACTTTATTCGAATAAAGAAAAAGTAGGCATTTTGATGTCTCAGGTGTTACATATGATTGTTTACATGGGGCTCAATGACTTTGTTACCTAGAGGGGCGCGGAGGCGACCCGAGTGCCGGCCCTCCCTCCCTCCGCGGACACCGACACGACCGACGTACGCGCAGAAAACCGAGCCAGTTGCCTGCTGTCGCCGCGCAGCCTCTTGTTTGTTTACATCCGCTATTTTAAGTGATGTTAAAATCACTAAATCTGATAACGTTACAATCACCATCAACAGTTAAGTGAAGTAGTGCTTTATAATGCAACAGTGATCGGTTAGATGAAGAGGAGGCTGAAGGCATGGTCCCTCAATACGGTTCTTCCAGTTTGGTATTTGTATTTGCACAAAAGTTGCACAGTCCACTGCATTAGCGCAACCGATAGTGAAGGTTGAAAGTGTTCTAAAATGAAAATAATTCAGCAGTCAGTCGTATTGACATCGCATTATAATAGCTGGTTTTTTTTTAATTTAACAATAGAAATAAATATGTAATATCTATTTGCAATCAGTAATATATAGTATATAGTATATAACTGCTATATTATTTTTACATGGTGTTATTAAGGAAAATAAAAGCACGTAAGTAAACGTATAAAAATAAACGTACTTGGTTTAGCATTATTTTTTGTTAAATTCTTCAGTGTGGCGTGACTACACGTAAGCCAGATTCTCCTTGATCATAACAGATAATGCAATAATATGTAATTATAAAGCAAAACTGAAAAAACTTTTAAATATATAAAGAATCATTTAGCATTCAGTAAATGTTATGATATGCTTTCTCGTCATTCTGCTGCTATTATACAGCTTTCTAAATAATAAAGAAATTTGTCTACTTATATGATATTAGTCTAACAGAATAAATTGTAATGAAATTTGAGGCTTATAGTGCTATGTAACTCTGGTTACGTATATTTGCGTCGTATGACATTTAGTATGCGATTGGAGAAAAATAATTACGCCATTTCATTGGATGATAAAATAATATATAATGGTGAACCAAAATATCTGGTACCAAGTATCTAACTGTGCTTGATTTATTCTCGATTAATGTGGGCCAGAAATTGCTAATACAGTTGTGACGGTAATTGTCGATGAGTGTCATTACTACAGCCTGTATTGTTATTTCGTAGTATTGCCAGCAATATTATAGTGATCCATATACCTAGATCTCGCTTAGAAAGCTGCTGTTATCTTCTTTATCTGTTTTTTTTTCATAATTATGTCACTATTTCCTTTATGTGCCCAACACTGAAAGCTTAACAAACTTTAAATGGATTATGGACGCGTTATACAGCAATATAAAAAATAGCGTTCGTAGCCCTCTAACTTATAAAAAGGGACAAACCGATAGACACACTTTCACATTTATAATATAGTGAGGATTTCTTTAATATAGATAATAGCTTGTAATGTGTCAGTACTCAGTACTTACTTAAAATATGTATAATCTTCAATTTCGTATTACTGTCCAAAATAGTCTCACGTCACTATTACCTCTGCACTGAAAACAATAGATTCGTTTGAATCGGATTTGCTAACTTGCTTTTGTATGCTTTAATGGTCGATTGTTTTAATCTCAAAAATAGCACGCTCTTACGTCAAACACGTCACATGATAAAGAATTATTATACATCTTCCTTAACCTATTATGAAAGAATTTAATTTGATAATAGCCATGCAATGGCTTTTAAAAACGCGATCGTTGAACTTTCTGCGGGCTCAACATCCCGGCTGTCAAGTTGTACTTTCTCGTTTTATTTCTTGGCGTCCCTTTATTATGCATTTGCGTGTATTGTTATCGGGCCCTGTTAGAACCAGTTGGCAGCCCATAACATAAAAACAGCACGCAGAAAATGCTTTTTTTCTGAAAGCTGTTATTTCACCGTTGCAGTCGCTTATTTCTGTATATTAATAATTTAAATCATCGATATAATTTAAATACCTAACTGGAGGAGGCCGTACAAGAGAGCGTAGCGAGCGCAGTCGGTCCTGATAGAAACATAATATTCGTTCTATTTGTTCAGTGAGTTGTGTATCACATATATAAGCTAATGTGTATTAGAACTTTTGCTATGAAGGGTTAACTTGTGCTAATCAGTGTACACACCTTCTGACTTGAACAAGTTAATGAGAAATTTCTTTAGTTTTCAAAGCTTCATTGAAAGCCAAATGGAAGGAGTGGGGATTATAGATAACGATTGAAAGATAACGGAGTCGAGGCCGAATAGAGTATGCTGTTCAAACGCGCCACTATCATTTTTTATATTTTTTGCGCGTCTGTAAACTGAACAACCGGTGATTGGACATCAGCGAGTTCATCAACTGAATTTGAGATAGAGTACTATGTCGCATAAAAAATATTACATAAAAATACGTTATATTAATCTATATAATTGAATAGTACCAAGAATGAAATAAAACGTGGAAATACTTAATTACACAAAAAAAAATATGAAAGACCCTCCCCGGTGTGAAGATGTGGCGGACAAGCTCGTAAGACTATTTGGATGGAGACAGACTTATCCTGTTCAAAAATTACAGCGGAATATAGTGCCTAAAGCTGACGACACGGTAAGTGAATAACAATTAGCGAATTCCGATGTATTGACATAATGTTAATCGAGTAAATATTATTTAATGTTTGGAGGAAGCTTTTTATTTATTATTAGATTATAGATACACATTTTAATACGCAGTTAATTTATATACTTATATGTTTATTAAAAAATTGTGCAATACTTAAATATATACATAAGAGGTAAAATTTTTGAGTTTACATTTAAGAGGTAAGTACAATCTCCGCAATTAATTTAAAAATTCTAAACCGCTACATTATTCCGAAGCGCTATTTATTGTTTTATATTTTATTAATGTTTTAAGATGGATTTTCAGTAAGACATTTTACATAATAACAATATTTTAATTTAAGTCGCTAGAACTACTAATTTACTAATGAATTATAAGAAATAATTATTTATATTTAAATTAATGTAATCATTTATTTTAGACAATATTTACAAAATGATCTTAAAAAGTAAATAGAGGCCCATAACCTATTTCATTTAATTAAATTATAATAAAACTTCTTAGCTTGAAATTTCGCACTATGCAGGAAATAGAAGAAGTTTCTTATAGAAAACATTATAAACCAAGCTCTTCTATTGTTGTTGCTTTCACGGTTCCTATTGTGATGGAAACATTGGAAAATACTTCATTAAGCTAACACAGTTTTAAATGCAATTAAACTGTCAATGCCACAAATTAAATGACTTGTAGTTTGTACTTTGTACACGGACGTTTAGTGGTCAATGAACTGCATATAATTGGATAAAGTCTAGAATATTGTATATTACCTAGTAGATACTTGGATTCAAATCAAAAAAAATAAATTTAAGAATCATTCACTGATGTAATATACATTTTGGTTTTCATAAATTATTGCTAAACAAAAAGGAGGTACTGAATTCGTCTGTATTTTTGTAGGTTTTTATTTGATATATTCTCCATTTGTGGATCGATTTTCATAATTTTTCATCATACATTATATTTCAATACGTTCTCTTCTACGTTCCATATAATATATGGTGTAGACAGGGAAATTATTCTTATTTACTATTTACGTCAGTATTACCTACCTACTATCTATTTACAAAGAGTGAATATATATTATATCTATACTATAATAAAACGGTAGAAGTCGAATGTCTGTACATAGAAAAAATATGCTAAAAACCGAGTCAGGGGAATGTAAGAAGACAAATAGAATAAATCCAGTTTTTTTTTTTAATTTTTTATCTCTCTGTTTGTCTGTTTGTACGGGCTAATCTCTGAAACTATTGGACCGATTTAAATGGAATTTTACATGGTGGTACCTTATATCCCTGGTCAACATCTTAGATACTTTTCACCCCGGAAAATTAAAGAACTCCCGTGGGATAGTTAAAAACTATAGTAACTTATACAGCTTAGTACACAAAATCTATTGATTGGATTTTAATGAAACTTTACTATAATATAGTTCATACATTACAATAACAAATAGGCTCCTTTTTATCCCGGAAAATTGTACGGTTCCCGTGGGATAGATATGTTTTTGTTTGTCTAGAGGCGAATCCGAGCGAGGCGAGGGTGAGCCGTACATAAATTTAATAAATAACATTTTTTTAGATAGTAATGTTATATCTGTTAATATTTTGTATTTATTTGAATATAAAATAGATCTAATTTCAATTAGTTATCTAATAAAGTAGAACATGATCACTTTTTCTTCAACATAATCGATATGTAATTACTCAACGAAACAATCTATTAATAACCCTATCCTTGCGATGGCAACTAATCTGTCACATTCCAACGCGATAATACTAACGTTGACTAATGTTAGCCAAAACAAATAAAGGTAAATAATACTGCAAATTAAGGTAGTTCAGTGAGTATATTAAATTAAATTAGATATAAAGTTTGGAGCAACAGATGTCGTGGTACGGTCATGTCTTGTAGAGGGAAGAAGTGTATGTATATGGCAAAAAGGTGATGAATATGAGAATGCAGGGTTGAATGGGAAGAGGGCGACCAAAGAAAGTATGGAAGGACTGTTTAAAAGATGATATAAGTAATAGAAGGGTGAACTCAAATATGACAATAAAGATGGATATGATTAGAAAATAGTGTACGATCAAGAAGAAGATTGAACTCTTCAATTATATAATCTTAAACGTAATTTGTATATTCTTACATTGTTTTTTTTGTATTTTTTCTCAGAAATAAGATATTTTCCCGCGGTAAAAAGTATCCTATATGTTGACCCAGATAACCAGCTATCACCATACTAAACATCAAAATCCCTCCAGTGGTTTTTCTGTGATGCGGTAATAGACAGACAGACAGACAAAAATTCTAAAAACTATAGATTCGGCCTCTGTATCGATAATAATGTTTATTTCAATAAGATTTTCCAAAAAATATTTAATGTACAGATACAGCTTAGTTACAATTTTATTATATGTATAGATGTGTACCTTAAGCAACTTTAGTCAGAATATCATCAATCAGTATATTTTGTAGGTTTTTAATAGCTATATCGATTATATCTATCTCTTCGAAAGGGGTTGATATATATCAACCAACAATGAGCAATTTTCCGGGTGCTTTTAAATTAAACAATAATAAAATCTTTTAATCTATTAATAGTAAGAATGACTCGTGTTAAAACTGTTAGAACTTAAGGTTTTATGTTATGCATTAAGCCGATGTTACAGGCTAAGTCTCAGGGCCACCTGGGTATTAGTTTATTAACATTTCCATCTATAATTACTATTAGTAGAAGAGACAACGTAAATATACTTAATCCTTGAAGACTTAAGCGAGATGTAGGTCGTGCATTACGACGTGTGATACCAAAGCCCAACGTCGTTTTGCAAATACACTAACAGTTACCTAACAAGAATCACATAATAAAATTAGCCTATGTCACTATATGGTCCACATAAGCTATCTTACAGCAAAAACATAATTTAAAAATTACTTGTTTTTCAGTTTTAACCGATTATAATATAATATAGGCCTCCTTAAAACAAATCAAATAAGAAGAATTCTTTAATATATGAATAGTGGAATGGAGAAATAGTTCCAGATCTAAGAAAAGGAGGATAAGTTCATGATTATCAAATTATTGAATTATCATCCGTATTTCATATTATTAAAAAGTTTCAAATGAAAATGATTATTAGAAGTATGTTAAAATTGGCTTCCAAGATTCGATTACATATTATGTTACATATTAAGTGAAGCTCACAGCATGTTAAAAATCACGTCGCCTCGGTACGGTACTGCATTGATGTGTGAAAAAAAAAACCAAATACACTTTCGCATCACTATATGTACCTGGCAATAATATTAATAGATATACTCGTCTCCTAAGAATAAGTTTAATCTATACTAACAAGTTTAACAATTTGTTTGTTAGATGACGCTAATCGCTGAATTTACTGGTCCGATTTAAATTTTTTTTTTGCGTTTTATAGACTATTTGTTTCGTAATGGTTTACATCACTACGACCTACGAGAGCGGATAATTCTACAAAATTAAACGAAGCGGACAGTGCGGCCACAAAAGAACGCTAGTCTAAACATAATAATATAATAAAATTGTAACAAAGCCGAATCTGAACATTAAATATTTTTTGGAAAATCTTATTGAAATAAACATTATTATCGATACAGAGGCCGAATCTATAGTATTTAGAATTTTTGCCTGTCTGTCGGGGCATCACGCATCACCAGAAAACCACTGGACATATTTTGAGAAAAATTTTAATGATGGTAGCTGTTATCCTGGTCAACATATAGGATACTTTTTACTGCGGGAAAATATCTCATCTCTGAAAAATCTCTACTAACCTTTAAAACGTATCTCGGACGAACCCGACAGGAGCAAGGGTGAGTTGTTGTAGGTAATATAAAATTCTTGACATTGAAGTTGTACAGTCTATTAATTGCTTTTGAAATACAAATGACTGTAAATCTTACTAGGCTTTTAGCCTTGGCATGCAATCTTATTATTCAATAACTGGATTAATGAATATTGGCTTCAATAAAATATTTTTATTATAATAGGCATTTACTTCTCGGCTGCTCTACTATTATTCGTAGGTATTATTTATTAACCTCTAGTCCATCTACTGTACTTTATGTGGTTCGTTAGTTGTTAGTCGACCCTTATTGTTAGAACACAAAACCATTTCCTGTGAACCACATGCCTATACAATTTATAATGGCATACATAGGTATACAAAATAAAGATGGGTCCTCTTGATAAAATTATTAAATATTAAGAGAGAAGGTTTTTATTAAGATTTTAAATAAGATAAATTAAAATAAATACTTTTAATTTTATTATCTACGATTTTTCGTAACAATGTAAAGAATTTATTTTAAAGAAAAACAGAAAATAGATAAGTAAAAGGCAGATAAATAGTTATCGCTAGTTTGATAAATTATAACTTAAAAACTTTATAATTATTGTTAAACACTTATCAAGAAGACACTTATTAAGAAAGTTTTTGGGATAGTTGGTCCATACAGCTAATCTTCCTACAAACTATATATTGACCATATGTATGTGTTCAGCTCTTTTGACGTCCCACTACTGGGCACGGACCTCCCAATACGAGGGGGTCAGGCCGTAGTCCACCACGCTGGCCAAGTGCGGGTTGGCGGACTTCACATGTCTTTCGAAAACTTGCTAGGTTCCATCAGACATGCAGGTTTCTTCACGATGTTTTTCCTTCACCGTAAGGCAAGTGGTAATCATGTTAGAAATGATTCGTACATGAAAATTTCAGAGGTGCGAGATCCGGGATTTGAACCCGCTTCACTCGGTTTCCCAAGCGAGCGCGTTACCACTGTGCTACCACTGCTATTTATTTATTGACCATATATAATTTGTAAATTAACTGCGTAACATTACGATAGACCGTTCTTATTGATTAAATTCAAAGAGCTAGTGAGTGTTTTAATTTCAAAAAATACTTGAACGTATAACTGTAACACCATATTAGCACTTTGATAGTCTAGCAGCTAGCTTACCTCATACGGTAATTCTAATATAATTTTCTGTTTCCATATTATTCTTGCTTACTTATTATTTCTTAGGAAAAGAAACAGTTTCTTTCTCAAGTTTATTCGTCGTTATTGTGCGATCTTTATTAGTTGCCTTCAGTTGTATTTACGCCACGGCGCGGCACGATTGTGCGACACGCTCTATAATTTCTTTCATGAGCCGTCCGTATTTAAAGAATATATTAAAAGTAATTTAATTAAAAAGTTATTGATAATAACAAAAGCCGTGAAAGTCGTGTGATACCATCTTGTGACACTTTAGTTTTAATTAAAATAAGGACTTACAAGAGTTACCTTTGAAAGTCATGTTTTACTAAGTAGAATAATGCCTACGTGTGTTGAAACAACTTAATGATTTAAGTTAAATATTGTGTAGTTGAGTGAAAACTGTAGTGTTTATTACCTTGAAATACATGAATTCAGTCAGCAGTTGCAAATTACCGCGGATTCTATGCACGTATCTACACTTAGTATTTACATAAGAATTTCGCGGGTTCCCTTGAGACACGTTAGTCTTTTCAAAACAAATCATCATGGAGCAAAATTCTACTTAAAGACCTCAATTTGTACTAGGCAGACGGATCGGAGATAACATTTGAAAATTCATATCTATACATATAATAAAATTGTAACTAAGACGAATCTGTACATTAAATAGTTTTTGGAAAATCTTATTGAAATAAACATTATTATCGATACAGAGACCGAATCTATAGTTTTTAGATTTTTTGTCTGTTTGTCTGTCTGTTACCGCATCACAGAAAAACCACAGGAGGGATTTTGATGAAATTTGGTATAGTAATAGCTGGTTATCCAGGTCAACATATAGAATACTTTTTACCGCGGGAAAATAACTAATTTCTGAGAATAAATACAAAAACTGCAATGTAAGAGTATACTAATATATAAAACTTAAGAATATGTTTTTTCGTTCTGAACGCGGGCGGAGGCGCGGGCAATGCTAGTATGAAGTATTTATCATTTTGCGGATAATGCACAAAAATGTATAAATGCAAGAATGAAAATCATTAATACCTATACGAATACTTATGGTAACAAGTATGGTAAACATTGTCTAAGTGAAGATAATATACATTTTCGTTTCCATTGATTCACTGGTGATTAGGACCTGATATTATCACACATTTATATATTGTCTTCACAAATTAAGCTGTAAACTTACATTATATGGTCAACTCTATTAACTTTGACGCGCATCGGCTTATTTATAATTCGACGCGAGCGCCTAAACCATAAACGTTTGCATTTCCGATGGCTCTGCAAAAGGTCTTCGGCAAATTCGTCGTCAAGATAAACAGTGTCATATTGAATTACATTTAAATTCACCGTGTACCAAATAATACATAGACATCATGATAATTATATTAATCGTTAGATTTTTTGTAGTGACAACTAAATTTGTCCTTACTCAAATGTTATCATCAATTTTAAGTAAATATAATATAATTTAAAACAAAAATTATATTCAAATCTGGTTAGTCTTTGTGCGTAGGCATGCTTATTAGGTAATAAGTGGGAACTTCAAAGTTCAAAGCCTTTAAAGAATTTACGAACTTACGCACAAATGTTGTCATGCATTGAGCGCAAAACGCCTCGCGTGATAAAACGGCTGACGTTTTCTATTCATATTGCCATCGTCATCTAAAACAACCTTCGTCATAATAATTGGAGCTTAAGTTATTTTATTAACATACCGATCACTAAAAAGTAAAATTGTTATCGTTTGTATTTGTATGTGATGGTACCTATAATTAGATAAAATAACGGTATGGCTCTCGATAAGCGGATTTTCAATGAATCACGCGATCCTAAATGGGATGTAGCATCTGGTGCATGCTGGCTGCGAGGCCGTGTTTAGTCGACGGCGCGCGAAGGTCAAGGCTTCATCCGCACCAATGACCTGTTACAATTAACTGCTATTTCGTGAACACCAATTCTTTCATACGGCCTTATGTTGTTTCAACAGTTAAACGGTTACTTAATAGTACAATTAAAATTACCGAAAAAGTTTTTCTTGTTGCCTTAACAGAACTCGATTGTTTTGACCTGCGAATAAGAATTTGAACATATACACATAATTACGGATTATTAGTATTTTTTCCTTAATTTTAATTAAAGTTTGGTGATATAATTTTGTTAAAGTGTGAGTGTAATCCCCTTAAAAATGTTTAAAATGTTGAAGAAAGATGGATGACTCCGAGGAAACTCCTGTACCTCCGCCTCGATTAAAGAAACGAGCTCGATTAGCTTCTAAAGATCGTGAAAAGAGAACAGTTACTTGGGTATGACAATAATTTGTGTTATTGTATTTTCATTTTGGGTTTTCAGTAAATTAGTTAAAAAACGGAACTTTAGTAGGATCACGCGCATTTCTTTATTGAATGTACTACTTTACTCCTTTGCGATTTTATTATAATTTCATACAAATAAATAATAATTTCATACAATATAAATTATAAAATTAATCTAATAAAATATAACTATGTCTTGTGAATCGCGAATATGTGCAGGATGCTTGAAAAAAATTGATAATAATAAATATATCAAATGTTGTCTGTGTAACCAAACTTATGATGCAGTGTGTGCTAACGTCTCCGAAAAGAAGATTAACTCAAAGGATACTAAAAATATTTGGAAGTGTCAAGCGTGTAAAAATAAGCAACCTAAAATTTGCAATACAAATACTCCAATTAGAACGATATTCGCCTTTGATGAAGGACAGAAAGACGTCTTATCCGAATCTCATGACTCAAATATAACTACGCGTAAACCAAAATCATTTAACTCACCTTCCATTTCCACTAGCACAAGCTTAGATGACAACGCCATTGCAGCTATTCGATACCAAGTCTTGGAAGCAATAAAAATAGAAATTCCAACAATGCTATCGAAGGTAATAAAAAGTGAACTATCTACACTATCACAAGAGGTTCATGATTTATGCAAATCAGTTAGTTTCCTCAGTGAAATGCATGATGAAATGAAGGTAAAAATCGAAGAGTTGTCTAATGATAATAAAAGTCTACGGAATGAAAACTCCGTACTTCAAACAACCGTTACTGATTTATCCGATCGTATCAATATTTTAGAGCAACACCTTCGACAAGAAAACTTAGAATTGAATGGTATACCCGAACATTATAATGAAAATATCCCCAACATAATTCAAAAATGTGCCAATGTTATTGGTCACAATATAGCGGATGATGATATTGTTCATTTCACGAGAGTAGCTAAACAAAACAGAAAGAGTGAAAAGCCTCGTTCAATCATAATAAAGTTTAAAAATATTAGACGACGTGACGAATTTTATTCAGCAGTTTACAGATATAACAAAACTCATCCAGATAACAAACTTAATACCTCTTTGATCGGAATGTCCAACGAGAAGAAGCCAGTTTATGTTTCCGAGCATCTTTCTCCTGCTAACAAAGCTCTACATGCTGCTGCTCGTCAAAAGGCTAAAGAATTACAGTATAAATTCACATGGGTTCGAAACTGCCGAATTTACGTTAGAAAGGATGAAAACTCTCCATTTATTCATATCAAAAATATGGATAGCGTTAAGTCTATTCGTTAATTTTATTCTACTAAATTATTTTTAGCATTAATTTTTAAATATGGCTCTCTCAATATATTACCAAAATATTCGTGGTATGAAAACTAAAATCACTGAGATTTGTAATAATATTATAAGTCAAAATTACGATATATTATGTCTTACCGAAACTTGGCTTGACAACTCCGTTCTTTCAACAGAATTCTTTGACAATAGGTATGAGGTAGTAAGAAGGGATCGAGATCTAATTTTTTCAAAACGCTTTAATAAATATCGAGGTGGCGGCGTACTAATAGCTATCTCTAAAAAAATTAATTTTGATATTAAGCATGAATGGAAATCTGACATACTAGAAGATCTATGGTTACAAATAAAACTAAATAGTCACTGTACCTTAAATTTATGTACTGCATATATTCCAGAATATTTACCATATAATATTTTCGATGATTTTATAAACAAATGTAATAGGGTTGTCAGCATGTTTCCCGGTTGTATAACATGTATAATGGGTGATTTCAATCTCCCTAATTTGACTTGGTCTAAATCACCAGGTCATCCCATAAATTATACTTGTGAAAAATCTAAAGCTCTATTTGATCTCATTAATTTAACAGCATTGAAACAACTTAATTCACTTACAAATCTTAACAACAAAATTCTTGATCTTGTATTGACTGATCAACCGGACAAATTTAATTTAGTTAAAGCTATGCCTATAAGCCGCCTCGATTGTCATCATCCTACATTTGAAATTATATTTAATTATGGCAAGGTCACCTATCTTCTTGAAAATACTCCAATTACCAAATTGTGTTTTTATAAAACCGATTATATTAACTGTATTAAAGAATTAAAACAAATTGATTGGGAAAGACATGCTAATATACTTAGTTGCGATGAATATGTACAATTTTTTTATAATATTTTGTATTCAATAATAGAAAAATACACACCAAAATCTAAACAACGCAATAATAGATACCCTTTTTGGTTTTCAAAAAGTTTAATTAAACTTATCAAAAGCAAGAATAAATATCATACACTTTTCAAAATTTACAATAATCCAAGAGACTATGATACTTTTGCTCTCCTAAGAACAAGAGTTAAACAACAAACTGAAATATGTTTTAGGTCTTATATATCAAATATAGAAAATAATTTAATTAAAAATATTAAAACTTTTTATCGTTACACTAAAAATAAGAGAGTAACTAATAATATCCCTAAACAGCTGCATTTTAATAATAGAGTAGCTGAATCTGGTATTGATATTACTAATCTTTTTGCTGAATATTTTTCAACTGTTTATGGAAATATATCATCTATTAATTATACACCAAAATTCCCTCCATCTATTTTTTCTATAAGTAATTTACAATTTTCCGCAGACGCAGTTGAACTTCAACTCAAATCAATTAATATTTCTAAAGGATCGGGCTCTGATGGTATTCCACCAATTTTTATAAAAATTTGTTCTTCTGCATTATCAAAACCATTAACAATCATTTATAATAAATCAGTTTTAAATGGTATATTTCCATCTTTATGGAAAATTGCTAAAATCACCCCTATTTATAAATCAGGCGATAAGAGTGATGTCAGAAATTATCGACCAATTTCTATCTTAAACTGCTTTGCTAAAATTTTTGAAACTATGATCTATAAACAACTGTACAGTCATATAAAACCACATCTTAACATTAAACAACATGGTTTCGTATCTGGTTGCTCCACAACTTCCAATTTATTAGTTTATACCACTTTTTTATGTGAATCATTTGATACAAAGACTCAAGTAGATTCAATATATCTTGATTTCTCCAAGGCGTTTGATCGAGTAAATCACACAATACTATTATCTAAGGCTAGCCATCTGGGCATACATGGTAATCTTTATCGTTGGCTATGCTCTTATCTGGATAGCCGTTCTCAATTAGTAGCTCTATACGGGTATGAATCATTTCCATTTCTAGCCACCTCTGGTGTACCACAAGGATCTATTTTAGGCCCTTTGTTATTTTTGATATTTATCAATGACCTACTGTCTTTGATAAATAGTGAATGCCTCGCATATGCTGATGATATAAAAATCTTTTTCCAAGTCACTAAAAGAGAAGATTGTAAAATTCTTCAGCGTGATCTCGACTCTATCCGAATGTGGTGTGATGAAAATTTGATGGAGCTTAATAAAAATAAATGTTATATCATTTCATTTACAAAAAATAAAGTTCCAATATCGTTCGACTACAACATAGCAGGCACCGTTATTTCTAGAGTCAAAGTAGTACAGGACCTAGGTGTTATATTTGATTCAACCTTATCTTTTAGGCCTCATATAGATTACATTACAAGTAAAGCAAATAGATCACTCGGTTTTATCATCCGAACTGCCCAACCTTTCAAAAATTCAATCTCGTGGATAGTTTTGTATGTCACTATAGTAAGAAGCATACTTGAATACTGCTCTTCCGTATGGAAACCAATATATGATATTCATATTAACAGAATCGAGGCTATACAACGTAAATTTCTAAAAATATTAAGCAGGAGGCAAGGTCTCAGGCGTGAATTACCAACTTACACTGACAGACTTCATAAATACAAACTAAAAAGCCTGGAAGATCGGCGTGTTATATCAGATTTATGTATCCTCCATAAAATAGCCAATGGCGATTTCAACAGTAAATTACTAGAAAAACTGGAATTTAAAATTCATACTCACTCGATTCGTCAGCCACAACTTTTTAATATACCTTCGGCAAGTAATAACGTTTCCCAAAACAACCCTTTACACAGAATGTGTAAAACATACAATAGTTTAAATGATGAATACGACATTTTTAATAATAGTTTATTATCGTTCAAGAAAAAATTAAATAAATTATAGTTCTTACTTTACATTTTCGATAATAAAGATATATTTTCTCTCTGTTTCTTCTCCTTTATCTTTTTTTCTTTTCTTTGTCTTTTTTTCCACATGAAATGTAAATATTATTTTGTTTTTGTTTTTTAATATTTCTTATGTACTCGTTACTTTAAATGCACAGACTCATACTGTATTAATTCACTTTTTTGGTTAAGTTTCTTTATATAATTACTAGCGGCTCACCCTCGCTTCGCTCGGGTTCGTCGCTAGGTACGTTTTAAATAGATATAAAAAGAAAAAATCTTTCTTTCTCACATTTTAATTATATGTTTTAATACTTACCTATTCCGGACTAAGAGAAATCCAAAAATTAAAATATCATAAAAATTGGAACGCGGTCGAACGGGATAAAAAGTATCCTATGTCCTTCTCCTGGCTCTAAACTACCTCCCTGCCAATTTTCAGCTAAATCGGTTCAGCCGTTCTTGAGTTATAAGCGAAGTAACTAACACGACTTTCTTTTATATATATAGATTATATTTTTTCATTTGAATGTTGTGTACAGACATAATTGGAGAACAAATTTAATATGATATTTTTAGTTTTTAATATGAAGATGTAATTTTTTTAATTTGTTTTCTGTTTCTGTACCTAAATAAATAAAATAAAATAAATAAAATAATATACTTATAGGCAGTAAGTATATATATCAAAGGCAAATATCAGCTTACTTTGAAAATAAATGTATTAATTATAGTAAGGCCAGTCATATTGGTTTTTGCTTTGATGATAATCTATTCGAGCTTCTCCATTGTCACAATACGTATTTGCTGGCAGAATGCTCTGCTGACAGTCGCACAAAGGCTTGCGAACAACCATACAAAACAACTCTATCTGAATAAAACGTACATATATATATAACGTCCATGTGTTCACGCAACGTTCACGCGATGAATAGATTGAAAGGCGCAAATACTGCGTGGGAATATTCGTAAAGCCGTCGCAAAGTGCCGTGATTAATTCCTATGCAAGAAAAACAGAAATCTGTTAAACTAACACACAATGTCAATGTTCGTATATAGTTGGTGTTACAGTTATAACTGCCTTGTAATAAAATCTGAAAAATGTAAAAATTCTGGAACTAAAACTGCGTAACTTAGGTGACGTTGGTGAAATCGGGCATAAATATATTATATCAACATTTTTAATAATAATCTTAAATTTCATCACACAGGGGCCGGAAACATGGGTGGGCGTGCGTGCTCTCCGCGCCAGTTCAGGTGGTATCCTGGACCTGGACGACCGCGTGCGCGATGTGGCGGACGACCGCGAGACCCTCACTGCAGAGTGTGCCAACCAGCCGCAGCCACGAGCAGCCCAAGCTGACGGTGCCAGCGGCTCCTCTGCTGGCACCGCCTCACCTGATATGTTTCGGGTAAGTGTTAATTTTTGATTTCATTAAATATATTTTAATTCTTTATTATAGACTTGTATACCTACCTGTATGTAAAAATATTCAGCGTCATACATTTTACAAACTGCAGAATTACTAATTAGTATTCCAATAATATTATTTTATGGACTACTCGTTATTTTTATTTCAAATATTATATTATAGACAATATAATATAATATGTAAATTATTTAAAAGTTAATAAAAATACTATTGATTTAATGTATAAAGTATATATTTTAATAATTTAATTAAATATGAATTAGTAAGACCTGAGGTCATATCATAAATTAAAAAAAAAAACGCGGGAAATCTAAGCTTCAAGGGCATCGTCGGAAAACAGACATGTCAAAACTTGTGTAACTTTCGTGCAACTTTCGTCGTTCTTGCATCTTCTCAGTTTATATTTTCAAGTAAAAGTTTAATTTCATTTGTAAAGAATATTTAGAAAATTAAACATTAAAAATGGGTGTGTGTTTCTCAAGTTGCTTGTACATGAGGAATAAAAATATGGTGAGCTAAGTAAATATTTTAAAGTCTAACAATTAGTTACTATAAAGTAGAACCATAATTATATTTATTATTATGAACATATTATTTAGTTTAAACATAATACTACACAAGAGTAATTCTTATGTAAAAACGTATTTCTGATGTGTGTAAAGTATACTTTAATATTTTTTAATAGTATGAATATTCGAACAAAACTATGTTATACCATATCCATATGATTTAAAATATTTATTAGCCCATTTATTTTGAATCATAAGTTGACACATAGTCATTCTAATGTATCATATTGTATACATATAGGTGTTTCTGTTTCATAGATAACAAGCTAAAAGTAGGCTAACAGGATTATCATATTTGTGAGTTGTGACAATAACTATATTGACAGTGAACAACATTACAACGTGCTTTCAATTTTCATTATGATAATATATTTTTTGGCCTTAAAATAATAATATGTTATTGTTATATAGTACACTAGCGACTCACCCTCGCTTCGCTCGGGTTCATCCCTAGCTTACTTCCCAATACAAACTTTCATCCCCATTTTCACCCCCTTATGGGATGATTTCCGGGACAAAAAGTTTATTCTATGTCGTTCCCAGGGTCTCAAACTATCTTCTTACCAACTTTCATCTAAATCGCTTCAGTAGATCCAGAGATTACTCCCTACAACGTCACAAACTCACAAACTTTACCTCTTTATAATATTAGTACAGATTATAAATCCAATAATCATTTTTATTATTTTTAATATATAACAAGAAAATTGAAAACGCGAATCCAATTTAATAATAAGTAAGTACAGTAGATTAGAGTATTATTAGAAAATTCCTGAGCTCTCGTTGTGGCAGATACAAACCACAGATATTGTTGGAGATTACAATGCTATGAAAATGTATATTTATTATTTACAATATTACGGTATTGCCAATTTAATAAGTAATGTAGTTAACGGAATCATTTAAGTAACAAACCATGTTTATCAATTATAACAGTTACTTACGTTAGTGCAAAAACATTACACCTACATCCATACTAATATTATAAATGTGAAAATGTGTTTGTTTGTTTGTCCTTCTTTCATGTCGTAACGGAGTGACGGATTGATTTTGTGTAGATCTATTTGGAGGGCTGGAGAGTGACATAGGCTACTTTTTACCGCAGTAGATTATTTAATGCCCACGGGAAAACACGTTATAATACAATCCAAAAAAATATTTATGATCAGAATTACTTAAAACTTGGTATTAATGCTCTTCAATAAAATTAAATAAATACGTGTTTTGGCATTTTTAGAAATTCATCCTATATGGGGGTAAAATAGGGGATGAAAGTTTGTATGAAGTAGGTGATATATTTGTAAGTAATTATATACAATTTATCAATAACAACCGCCTTCTTTTTGGAGCCATTCAGTCGTTGATTAACCTATATTAACATTCGCACTTTTTAGGGCGTCAGTAGTATGGGGGGCAGTATGCGAGTGCCTAATACGGACTCGTGCGTGGAAGTCGGTGTAGCTGACTTGGAAGATGGCGCTAACGGTCTGCAAGTGCGACGCGGAAGCGAGCCTACATTACATCAAGACACATTACCACCTCAAAGACAGGTTATTATATTTTTTGCTACCTCATTTAATATCCATTATTATTATTATTGTTAAGAAATTATAGAACCATATCCAAATACTATTATATTATGTTGAGGGATGATCTTTTAGATACGTACATTATCAAATAGAAATGAACATCTTTGTTACTGATTTTGGAGTGCTGGACATTACAGTCTACTTCACTAAGTCGTGCTGCGAATTACAATGATTGCTTTATACAATTGTTTAAAAAGATAAATATTAAAAGATTTTTCGATTATCTTTTCTTTGTATATAATAATCTTTTAAATATAAATTAAATTGTATTCCAGGTTTCAGAGCAAACAAAACGATGGTCAGCGGCGGTAGTGTGTCGAGACGACACAAGTCGCGCGACGCACAAAGTGCACCCCATGGACGGGCGCCCGCCCGACCAGACCGACCGGCACGGCCAACACTTCCAAAGACAATCAAATCGACTATCCATGCAGTTTTCTGGCCCTGGGTAAGATATGACTTTTTGTTTAAATTAAATCTGACACTATTCAATCGGTCGGAGTATGCCCTGATATTTTTCTTTAATGCCCTCTTGACTGATTTAGCCACGGCGGCCAATTTCATTGAGGCTATTGTGTAAGAGATATTATTATGGTGCACAATTATATACACAGACATAAGTGCAGTCTGTTAAAGTCCGCTGAGACGGGATTGGACAGGCACTGGGATGTAACACCGCCGACTTCCCTGGGGGTAACTGTGGGCTGCTATCGAATATTTCTTGAGAGAAAAGCCGTCACTTTATCTGGCTCGACCTGGAACTTGAAACCGGGATACCTAGATCTCCAGCGGCTCTATATTTTTAAAGATGGGTTTACAGTTTCCCAACAGAAAGAAAATTATGTTCCTTTTAAGCCTCTGATGAAAAATTTTGTTGGCTATATGACACCTTAAACTAATCTATTGGTCTACATACTCGTATCTCTCGATATGACTGCACTTTTTTCATAATAATTAATTAATATTATAATTTAAAAAAAAACTATAATCTTTTTTTTTAAGTATAAATATATAAATATGTTGGGACATTAACACACAGCATCATCTAGTTCAATGGTAAGCTACGAGGCCGTTATTATGGACACCAGATAGTTGGTACACTACTCATATATAACATTAAATACATACATATTATAAATATAAACACCCATAACTGAAGTACAACATTCGTTCTCATCACACAAATGAATGCCCCCAGCGGGACTCGAATCTGCGACTTCTAGCATAGCAAGTAGGGTTGCTACACACTGAGTCAAAGGTGTCTTCATAGTATAAGTAGTAGAGTATAGTATTATATGATCTGTGGTAGTAATATACTTACATAAGTCCTAAATAATTCTACTATTTGTATTTGACACCTACACTTCGTTTGCGATGGCGTAACTAACTTATGATATATGGATTTGTCTTAAAAAGGCTTGATGAGACTTTTAAAGGTCTTAAATGTATGGGCAGATAATTTATACATTCTAATTTCATTAAAATATACCGGTTCTCATAATGTCCTTTTAATTTTGTGTGTTTATTTATATATTCTATAAAGTTGTTTTATAATTTGTTCATGCCGTATTTAGTTTATATATACTGTATATAGAAAAAATGATTGATTATATATTGAGAATTGAATAACAATTTCTTATAATAGAAGTAAATTGTCCTCTACTGGCAAACCTTGAAGCTAGCAATGTAATTGAATTTATAGTACAAGATATTACTTAAGTAATAGCGTAATAACTTTTGTCCATTAAAAAACGAATATTGATTTTGGCATTGGATAATAATATTGCCAATTTATATCAAAAGTTAATTGTTTTATAAAAATACGTAAAAATGTCACTATAGAGGTTGTTTAAATTTTAAATATAAACTATCCAGTGGATTGAACATGTGACAAAGTGATAAATACAGTGACAGACACATCTTTGCATAATTTATATTTATTGTATTGCGACGAATATTTTTCGTATGTCGTGTAAGGATTATTACATTGGCTGTAAAAAGCTTATCTACTTTTAAGGAATAAAGTAACTGTCAATGACCCTACTTATCAGAAAATGTTAATTTTATGCAAGAGAGATAAGCATACTGTAACTTATTAAATTTTCCAGTAGCAAATTAAAATTTTACAATACTTCTACTAAAACATATGTTTCTAACAAAAAAAGCCTACTGCTTATGACCTACTTTATTATAACTCATTTTTATAAAGCTTGCAATAACTAACAAATACAGACCATATTTGAAAAGCATATTAATTATGCGATTATAGTTAATTATATTTTTTTTTATTCTCAAAGTAAATACTAATAGAGAATTGTTTGAAAACTAATCATTAGTATAAAAATAAAACACTTATATTTATTAATGTGATCTTCAAAATAAGGAGAGATAAAAATAAATAGTGAAAAAGAGAGCAGAGAAGGGAAATAAGAAAAAAAACCCAAAAAATAAACAAATAGGAAAATTTGACTATGTGTATCTATTTCCCTAGTATACAACATTAACTGCCTCGTTGGTTTAGTGGCCGGTATGTATAGCAGTGGATCAGGCATGTCTTGGGTATAAGTCGAACCAAGTCGGGCCAAGTATGTCAGAGGGAATTTGGGGGTTGGCATTCACACTCTTCTGTTCAGAGCTCAACTCGCGTCGGTGTTCTGCTTAATCTCTTACTGTGAGTGTCGAAATGATCGTCTTCGGCGAAGACGGTCAGACTCAAAGAGATGGGTCACCGTGACTATAATTCGTCAGTAAGATATTATCATTATTATAAACGTCGACATTATAGATATTGTAAAGAAAAAACTATTCATTAAATGTTTTTATTTAATCTTATATATTAATTCTTTTCAGAAGTGGTGTATGGTTAGATGCAGCTGAGCGAGTTCAAACATATGGCAGTAAAAGTCTACCTCGGGATGCTAGGAAAGAACCTTTAGGACAAGACACACCACCCACTCATGATCAGAATCATAGGTACGCAATGTTAATAATTTTTCGTTCTTCATTATTGTCTTACGACTGATAAAGTAATACCGGATTTTTGTGATAGTTTTTGCGTTCGATTATCACAACCAAACTATCATTGCGCAAAATCAAAATTCAATAATTAAATTAATTTAATTTTAAATGCAGATAAAAATCTGTACATTTTTATAATATCAGTATAATTTTGAATCACAGAGTGGAGGACATGCTCCGCTGGGTGTCCGGAGTGAACAACGTGGCGATCGTGCCCGCGACGCAGGAGCGCCCGCTCGATCTACTACCTGAATGTAAATTAAATTATTTTATAATTTATAAATATAACTGCCTCGGTGGTGTAGTGGCTAGCATGTACGGCTACACTATTGGAGGTCCTGGGTTCGAGTCCCGGGTCGGGCCAAGTTTAGTTATTGAGTCTTTCTGGATAGTAAGTCTCAGTAACAGCCCGGAGTTGGGAAGTTGGCGGTGCTTCACCCCCGTGCCTCGGAGAGCACGTAAAGCCGTCGGTCCTGCGCCTTAACTTTCACTGGTCGTGTCGAGCAGTCGTCCCACCGGAGTATGAGAGTGACAGGAATAGAGAGTGCACTTGTGTTTGCGCGTACACTTGTGCACTATAATATCTCCTGCGCAGTTGGCTAGTCTCAATGAGATTGGCCGCCGTAGCCGGAATCGGCTAGGAGAACATCGTCATCAATTTATAAATAAATGAGTTATATAATAGTATTTCTATTTAATATATGTTTTTTTTTAATATATAACAAGCTTACTTTCTATCTATTTAACTTTATAAACTCTATAATATCTTTATTCATAGTGATACTCCTCAATCGCCATAAAAATTCTAAAGCTTGTGTTTACATGATTCGTGAATGTTATTTTTGGAATGATTTTATTTTTACTTGATGGGATAGAGGTTCATAAACGTCATAATGAATTTTAATAAGTCTAGTATTCGATCGATTTTATTATTCGATCTTAAAATGTCAATATTACAGCCCCACTTAAAGTATGACAATATTACATTGAGTTATTAACGGAATTAAATAATAGTATCAAAAATAACTTGCATAATATAACAGCAGGTAGCGGTGAAAGGGCGATATCTGGCGCGGAGTCGAGTGCGGGGGCGGGCGCGGGCGCGGGCGAGGGCGCGGGGCAGCTCATCGCCGTAACGCTCGTCAAGGGGGAGAAGGGGCTGGGCTTCACCATCACCACGCGTGACAACCCCACGGGCGGACACTGCCCCATTTACATCAAGAATATTTTGCCTAAGGTTATTATTAAGTTATTGATATGTTATAGCTGTTTTAATAATAATAAAGTGATAATATTTGTATGATTGTATGCGTTAATCGTAGAAATCATCGGTATGATTTGAAAAATATATTTTTGTAAAAGCCAGTTAATAGGTAACGTAACACAGCAAACAAAAATAATAATTATTTTTAAATTGACAAATTGGATGTTGCGCCATATATAATCGCTATATATTTAAAATGCGTCTATATATAACGTGAATAGTAAACAGCGCTAACGATTAGTAAATAAAAAACCATTTTCATATATCAGATATGAAAATTTTACCATAACTAGTATGTAATGGTAATATTTTCATATATATATATATTCGCTTTTTTAATTTTATGTACCAAATATTGGTTTTCCTACACAGTCCACCACATATTAAGTAATAAAAAATGCCTTTGTGGAACGATCACCTAAGCACTCAGATCCAACATACTAATGATATATTAAGTGCCAGTACCATCTACACTACAATTATTATAAAGAGAAAAGATTTGTATTTTTGTAACAAATAAACTCAAAAACTGCTGGACCGATTTGGGTGATATTTGGTAAGAAGATAGTTTGAGACCCTAGGAAGGACAAAGAATATTTTTTATTCTGAAAATTATTCCTTAAGGGGGTGAAAATGGGAATAAAATTTTGTATGGGGAATCAACCTATGGACATGAGTCGCTAGTGCCATTAAAATAGAAGTGGTCTACCATCAGAGTTTCAAGTCCGGCAATACTAACAGTATATGTGTTGGTGCAGGGCGCGGCGGTGCAGGACGGGCGGCTGCGCGCCGGCGACCGGCTGGTGGCGGTGGACGGCGCGGCCGTGGCGGGGCGCTCGCAGCAGCAGCTGGTGGCGCTGCTGCGCGCCACGCCGCCCGACGCCGCCGTCCGCATCCTCGTCGAGCGCGCCGCCCCGCGCCCCCAGGTACCGCGTATACACGAGAATTTTTAATTTAATATTTACAGAGTAATCTAATAACGTTAACTTGGCCGAACTTAGGACCAAACCCAGGACTTCCGGATTTGCAGCCATACATGCTACCTGCTAGACAAACAAGTCAATTGCGATTGTTTATATATTATGTTTATAAATTGTCCAAAAACACATAATGAAATCCACGATATCATATCGTACAGCTGTTGAAGTTAGCCATTGCACCTACAAAGTAGTTTAATCTCAATAATAAGATAAAATCACTGAGTTGCATTATTAAAATACCCATTTTTTTAACCTCCCAGAGGGTAGAAACACAAAGTCCAACAAAATACACGGAGAAGCCGGTGGGTCCGCCCACGCCGGCCAAGCCCAGCCAGGACAGCAAACCGGAGAGCGGGCGCGTGTCCAGTATGGTGCACGCCATCAACCAGAACTCCATCAGAGGCAGGATACCTAAGAGCTCCAGCAAGGACGACCTATTGAAAGATCAGTCGTTGGATAGTGCGTTACAGGATGCCCTCAATTCATCTTCTAATTCGGTTAGTTATATTATTTTTGTATATCTTTAATAAAAAGCTTAGAAATTGTTTTCTCATGAGAAAATTTGTTGAAGATGTAATGATGGTAAAATAAATTATTTTTGCTTTTTGCATACGGCTTAATATGTAATATATTTCAAATGTTTTTTTTTAATTCTGCATTGGAAAATTTGACTAATTAAAATATTTATACCCTAACTTTACGGTTTAATTCTATATAAACTGTACGTCAACTTCTTATACATTATTCCAGTTGCTAGGCCTCAGAAACCGTCTAATCCTAAGGCTAGACGTGCCAGTTCACGACTCGGAGAAGGCTGGCCTCGGCATCAGTGTGAAGGGCAAGGTGACTGTCGGTCCTGATCCTCACGATCTGGGCATATTCATCAAATCTGTTTTACATGGAGGTGCTGCTTCTAGAGATGGAAGGTATTTTGAATTTTAAAATTTTGTTTTGTACAAGTTGAGAAATATATAATATTCATTTTCTGATATGTGACATTAGCTAGTACCTTTAGATTTAAAAAATTATTTACTTTAAATCCTTTAGTTCTCATAAAAGGTAAAAATTAATTATTTAAGCTGCAAGTGATATTTGAAGTGAATTGGAATTCAAGAAGTGTGCATACATTTGCATTTACTGCTTATATTGTTTTGTATACGCTCTGTTTATTATATTATAAGCACAGACTTAAACTAAATGTTACCTCAGCAAATGCAATGTTTCTAAAGTGTAAAGTATAATATACGTCCTCAGACTGCACACGAACGACCAGCTGCTGAGCGTGAACGGCGTGTCGCTGGTGGGGCAGCCCAACGCCGCCGCCATGGAGGCGCTGCGCCGCGCGCTGCTGCACGCGCGCCCCGCCGTGCGCGGCAGCATCTCTCTCACCGTCGCCCGGCGCACCGGTACACACCTCTACTGTCTTACATTTGCGTCGATATTGAACATTTTAAATTAAACTATATTTTCGGATTTAACAACTTTGAGACGTCTAAAACCTTAGTCTTTCCCGTGGCCATGATTGCTGTAAAGCATTCGAAAGGTCGCGTCGGGAACCGTAAGTCAAAATAAATCCGCGAAACAATCCGAAAAGATAGTTTTATTTAAAACTACACATGTCATATAAACTGAATCGTTATCTAATACCATTACCAAAATCCCGTAAATTTACACAAATATTTGACATTTTGATTTATTTTTTGGATTTTGTCACGCTTTCATTTTGAGTTTTCTTTCGATATGGTTTACTAACCGTTGTAAAGAAATTGTATACCTGGATGTGTAACGTATGGATTTTTAATAATACATTATGTTTTACTATATTAGTAAGTAAAGTTTTTTATCATTTTCTGCACATTCTTGACAAGGTTAAGTTTGTTAGGATATAGTAAAAATAACCAATAAAAGTTACTACAATAAATATTTCTCCTATACTTTATATTTAGTCACCACTTTTAATAAGGTTTTTTATATAATAAAACGCCCTAACTAGCAAAGCAACTTAAAACCCGAATTTTATATAATCACTTCAATAATTATACTTGTGTTTCATCAACAGACAGTATGGACAGCCTAGCGAGGTGGAAAGACGACACCCCTCCAAACGGCAACGATACAACTAATTCCAACGAAAACAGCAATTCCCAAAACTTCAACACCGTCATATACAATTCAATAGATAAAGAAAACAAACCGATAGACTATCAAAAACACGAGACCAATAGAGAAGACAGTACCAGATCGAATAAAAAGCATGCTTCAATAGTGACAATAAACAATAACAACAGTTGGGTGTCGAATCAGTCGGATGATAGCAAGGGTTATTTAGAACGGGATAAAGACGTTTCTCATGATATTAAACGGGATAGCTTTGAATGGAGTCGGTTGGATGGGTGGAATCCTGTTATAGATAGATTGACTGGTTTGCGGAATGAGAGTTATTATATGGCGACGCAGACGGAGGCGCCGCCGCACCGCGCGCACGCGCTCGCGCACCACAACGTTATTATCGAAGAGGACTATGCTACCACTCGGTAAGTTTTTCATTTAATATGCTTATTTCAGATAATCTATACATATAATAAAATTGTAACTAGGCCAAATCCGTACATTTAATATTTTTTAAAAAATGTTATTGAAATAGACATAATTATCGATACAGAGGCCGAAACTATAGTTTTTGGAATTTTTGTCTATCTGTCTGTTACCGCATCACAGAAAAACCACTGTAGGGATTTTGATGAAATTTGGTATGATGATTGCTGATTATCCGGGTCAATGTATAGGATACTTTTAACCGCGGGAAAATATCTCATTTCTGAGAAAAAAATGCAAAAACTGCAATGTAGAGTATACTAATCTGTAAAACCCAAATTCTTAAATTGGTTTTTGGTCACCTGAACGCGGGCGGATGTAACGTTACGTCAAACCATAGAATAAAATCCAAAAATCATAAGTTAAATTCAAAAAATAAAACTATTTTAATAAATGAAATAAATACGAAATGAAAAAATGTAAGAATAAATTGAAAAAATCCTAAAGAATTCAATTTCGCTAAAATAAGAACATAGTCATGTATATTAATCGATAGAATATAAATTCATAGAAGTAGCACAATTTGAAGTTGTGCGCTCTTTTTTTGAGGACACTTTTGATACGCTGACTATATATTTGTTCGGTTTTTGTATATCAATGATATAAGGTCACAAAATTGTAAAGACGTGTCATTGTTTATATATAATTTGGAGTTTTCAGTAATAATAGCGTTATATTGTAATATTTCTGTATAACCTCGGTTTTTTAGTTACGTTTTATACGAATTATAAATAAATATATCTAAAAGTAATGGCCGTCATTAACGTAGTAGTTTTCGACGGATGATAGTTATTAAATTGTTTTTTTAAATCTGCGTGTCTTGCTCATGTGATAGATCACCATAATGTTTATTTATATGTGAAGAATAATGACTGGGCCAAAGTTCACACAAAGTGGAGTCCTGAGTTAGGGAGGTGAAGTCGGGGCAGAACACGACCTAGATGGCGAGATGACCTGGACAAATTCCATCCAAACTGGCCTATTCGCCACATAACCTGGAACTTAGAGGGAGCTAGAGCGAATATCTTTGCCTAGTTGTGGGATAATGTGGGCTAACTGTAAGATAAATATATAATACTAGCAGAAGCCGCGGCTTATCTTGCGCTAAAACTACAAAAAAATCTCTAAAAAGGTAGTTTCATACAAACTTTCATCTCCATTTTACCCCCTTATAGGATGAATTTCGAAAAATGCTAAAATACGTATTTATTTTATTGAATTAAAGAGCATTAATACCAAGTTTCAAGTAATTCTGATCATAAACATTTTTTTAAATTGTATTATAACGTGTTTTCCCGTGGGAATTAGATAGTCTCCCGTAGTAAAAAGTAGCCTATGTCACTTTCCAGCCCTCCAACTATCTCCACACAAAAAGTCACGCCAAGCCGTCACTCCGTTTCAATGCGAAAGAAGTACAAACAAACAAACACACACACTTTCACATTTATAATATTAGTATGGATGTCAGGGGCAGCGCGGGCGAGTCGGGCAGCGAGGGCGGCGGCGGCGCGGGCGTGGACGGCGCCTTCAGCCGCGATGCGGTGGGGCGCCGCTCCATGTCGGAGAAGCGCCACGCGGCGCTGGACGCGCGCGCCACCGGCACCTACCGCAAGATTAAGGAGAACAAGGCTATTCATGGTTTGTATGTTTTGACTACACAGAATACCCACTTATATTTTAATCAAATCGGGACGTATAATTTGATAATACATTATACACACTTGATATGTATTTGATTTCAAGCCGGGTTCATTTATAAAGGGTTTAGGAAAATAGCGAAGTTTACTTCTATTAAACTATCTAACTGGATATTATTTTGGAGCTAGATCAATAGCTCGACGTATTTCTTAGGCAATATCTAAAGATAAATACTGTTTCACCTTTTGGGATGAATTAAAATTTATATAGACCGCTTTTGCATAAACTATTCACTAAAAAAATAATCATGAAATCGGGTTACTGTTAACAAAAAAATGCTAATGGTCACTTGGCAACTTGAGAATAATATTGAAAATAATTAACTGAAGCTTAGTACATATAATAAAACGTGTTATTTACTACAGCAATGCAAGTGGGGCCGTCACTCGGTATGAGAAAATCATCGAGCTTAGAATCTCTTCAGACTGCAATACAAGAAACACAGAGAAATCCTAATCGCAATGAACAGATCTACGTGCTAGCGCATCCACGTGAGTACTTTATATTTGTTATATTTATAAAAATGACCTAAAAATAAAATACCATGTTAAATCTATACTAATATTATAAATGTGAAAGTTTGTAAGTATGGATGTTTGTTACTCTTTCACGCCAAAAAGGCTGAACGGATCGGGATGAAATTTGGCACAGAGATAGATTATAGTCTGGAATAACACATAGGCTACTTTTTATCCAGGAAAATCTATGGTTTCCGTGTGATAAGTTTGTTTTGTTTTCCTAGAGGCGAACGTGAGCCGCTAGTTTTTCTAATAAAATACACCGAGACTTGCACCACAGGTTCTATAAAAATGAATATAATAAATTTTCATTATACATATCATTTAAATTAATTTCACATCTATCATAATATATTTAAGTGACTAATAATAAAAAAATATCTAAAACTACAAATTTTAAATGGGTGGGGGGGATGTTATAGGGCGGGGCTAATAATTACACTAACTATACTTTTTTTGTCAGGTTGTCAGGACGGGATATTTAGCTAAACCGACAGAATCGTAAAAAAGTCAAGAAACTTTCTAATAAAAAATAAAACATAATTTAATAAACTGTCAATTTCCCTAAGAGAAAAATGTTAATAATATAATTATTTTCTTATTATAAGCGTTAAAGCACTGGCTGACGGACGACAACGCTGCGCCGGAAACGATAGTGCGCGGCTCCCCGCAGCAGTCCTCGCTGTCTCACAAGAAGCCTTCGCTGCTCAAGTCATTGTCCACTATGTTCAGGTAAAGTTTAAACATTTTAATATTAAAACAGGACATCTTTTGTACATATATTAGACGTATTAATAATAATTTATGATTGTAAGTATTGAACATAAACACATATGAATAGAAACATAAAAATATAAATGATAAATATTCGTGATTTGTACTTTAAATATATAAATGTGCATTAAATAAACATTTTTTTTATATTTCTATGATATCTAAAAAGCTTGCAATAATAATCTAGAAAAACCGTTTATAATAAAACAGCATAAACAGTTTCAAATCAATATCAAAGTTAGAAGCAGCTAAAAATCAACTTCAAAGATTTGATTAAATAGTGAATAGCTATTTAAAAACAATTGGCTAATAAACAATAATCCAATGACAGAATCGGCAAGCCACACAAGAAGCCGGAGGGCGAGACGTACGCGCGCGCGCAGCCCGCACGCGCCTCGGACAAGTCGCTGTCGCGCGACGCGCTCGAGCGCCGCGACCACGAGCACCTGCCGCCCGCCAGGTACGCTGAGCTCGAGCTCTCGGGCTGCTCGGTGCTCTTGTGCATGCGATAGTAAATACAGTGTGTGTGTATGTGTGAATTACGCTTATGACAGCCGGAGGACTCTAAAAAACAAGTCTTTACTTCGTTAGTACTTTAATTAAAATTACTTAAAATAGGAAAATTACATCTAAACTTAATACTATGAAACAATAGTGATCGACGCTAGACTCATATATTGAATACAATTTATGTACTTATTGGAATATATAAGATTATAAACTGCTGATGCAGTCTTAATTTGGGGGCACACGTGTAGTGGCAACTTATTCCCAAGGAGGGTTGACGTCAGGCAGGCGACCGGTCGTAAAACTTTTGCCAAATCCTATCAGCAGTACACTGAAGATGTACTGCGCCGACCCCAAGTGATTTGGGAAATGGGCAGGGAGAAGAGAAGACGTGTAGTGGCAACTTGTGACGACGACGTTAGCGTATGTAACATGTACGTTTTCGTGTGCGCGTGTGTTTGTGTGTATGCATAGGTGTGTATGTGTGTGTGTGCAATGCTCTAAATGTGTTTATGCTCGTTACTTCTTCATGCTGAAACAGATGGACGGATGGATTTTAGTACACATACAAATAGACTGACCTGGAGTAACAGGTAACTATAGATGCACACATGGGAGCGTAAGTTGCCATTACAGCATTGTTTGTTACTTCGTTTAGTTAGCTTTTAACTATTTCGTTGGTCTTGTGGCTAGTATGTACGGATGCGAATCTTAAAGTCCCTGATTCGAGTACCAGGTCGGGCCATGTATAATTACTGGGTTTATGAGTTAAGATTTTTTTCTTCGGAGTTGGGAAGTCGGCGGTGTGTCGATGTACGTGTCACTTCTGTGCCTGATCTCCTTCACAAGAGTCGCAATGTTTGAAAGTGAACGAAATTGAGAAAGCATGTTGTGTTGAGCGCAATACTTATATTCTTGTAGAGATGCTAGTCTCATAGATAATGAAAACTAAGAGAGCCTCTATGCTTAATTTTTTATTTGTTTTATTGCTGTTGAAATTAAATATAAACAAAAATAACATCACATGATACAGACAAAATCAAACTTTTAAAAGTCGATGCCTCTAAGAAAAATTTCTAATAATAATTCCATCCTCCCAGCTACTATATAATATACCTACATTAATGATAAAAATGCATGGAAATAGGTATTTCTATTTAACATTAATCTTATTATTGTTATATTATTGTTAGTTTTAGGTTACACAATGTATGTTTTACTAATATAAAACGACAATGAAAAAGAATTTGTTAAACAATTCTACGTTCAATAAACAATTTTGGTTTGATTTGATTTGTCAGAGAGGAGCGAGGCTCGCGGCAGAGCAGCTCGGAGCGGCGCGGCCGCGCGCACCGCACCGCGCCCGCGCCCGCGCCGGCGCGCGCGCAGGTACCGTGACATACACTTCTGTATTGATTTTTCATTTCTAATCTGTTTTTTATTTTTATAAATGATTATTACATAAGTCAGTGTTTGTGTCGTTTACGAATAGTATGTAAAGCTTTCGGAAAAAAACCTTTTTTTAATAGACTTCTAAAATGGAGGAGGTCCTCAATTCATCGGAATCTTTTTTATGTATGTTCACTGGATTTGGATATTTTTTTTGTTTCGAAGGGTATACTTCCCAGGTGGTGGTCCCATTTAAATTTTATCGAAATCGGTCGAGCGGTTTTTTAAATAAAATTAATAATAAATATTTTTTTTACATAAATTGCTTAATCGAATATGTTAATAAAAAAACTTTCTTACAAATTACCTGCTTATTACGTCTACACTAAAAAAGGAAAAATAATTAAAAAAAAAACATAAAAGCCGACTTCCAGGCACTAAAATGTAAATAACTAAAAAGGGGAGGCATTTTTTTTCGGCAAATAACCGAACCCCCGAATACGATCATAAAAAATTACGCCGAACATACCAAATACGAATATCGACCAAACATAAGGCGCATCACTAATTTTAATGAAATGAATTGAAATCAAACTTTATTCAATTAGACTTATACTAACAAGCCCTTGTAAAGCATTAACTCAATTTAAAGAGAGGGAGTCGGTTCGTGAAGAAACAACCACCGACTCGAAAAACACATTTTCATTAAAAATTGAAATACGTATCTGCTTTAAAGACGTGATTCACCCACAGAATTTGTATGGCAATAGCAACCGGTGATGTCACTTATTTGCCAACTCAATTGATCAACTGTTTATTGATTTCAAAGCAACTAAAAAATATATCTTACTTTATAGTTCATTTTAAAAAAATCGTGTTTTTAGGACCTAAATAATGAGTTTTTAAATAAATTCAAACTTGGAATAATTGGTTAATAGCGCCAACTACCCAATTATTAATTAGTGAATAATTTTATTTTGAATTTACATCAAAATTTGTGAGAACCTCCTACTTCAAAATATAGTATACGTAACAGATTAGTTTAAAATCCATACTCCCAAAAAAAATATGTATAGTAAAAAGCGTCTTTTGCTTAAACACAATAATATGTAAGCCTTCAAACACTATCTCGGAATACTTTGAGGAGGTCAATGTGTGGGACTAACGTCTTGTTGAGTCCCATGTAAAATAACTAGATAATAATTAATTATTTATTGTATTACAATATTGTAAAGAAATATTATTTTAAAATAGCAATTGTTGAGATTCTCGCAAAATCTTTTTAGCAGAACTGACTACCGAGGCGATGGCAGATTCCTCACGGACGTACATACTGACATTTAATTTAAATTTTGAAAATGTAAAAGTGACGAATCAAAAGTGCTTGTAAAAGTATATTTGAATAAAATATATATTTTGATTTGATTGAATTGATTTGAGTGCTACTTTTTCTATCGTACAGCTCTTACTTTTTATACCGCGGCATGTAACTTTATATTTATTTAATTAATAATTTATGGCCTGTAACGTTAGAGTCGCCTATACCCGTTGTCTCCGCGATGCGCGAGTGCATATTTACTATCCTTACAAGAGACGAAGCTTCATACAATCGCGCAACTATGTATATATATTACTTTCTTAGATTTATGCGAATATTTGCCATCTATACATATACTCGTAATAAAATTGTAAGTAAGCCGGATTTATTCCTTAAATATTTTTTGGAAAATCTTATTGAACGAGACATTATTATTGATACAGAGGTCGAATCTATAGTTTTTAGAATATTTGTCTGTCTGTCTGTTACCGCATCTCGGAAAAATGGAGGGATTTTGATGAAATTTGGTATCATGATAGCTGGTTATCCGGGTCAACATATAAGATACTTTTTACAGCGGCAAAATATCTCATATCTGAGAAATCGATACTAAACGTTAAAACGTAAGTAGGGACGAACCCGAGCGAAACAAGGGTGAGTCGCTAGTTTTAAATAAAACTATCTTTTCGGATTTTTTCGCGAATTTATTTTGATTTTTGGTTCCCGACGTTTCGAATGTTTTACATCATTCATGGTCACGGGCGAGACTGACCATGATTGCTTGAAATTTGTAAAGATAGTTTTATTTAATATGTATATATATGTACACAACGACGTGTGAGCGGTGTCCGCGTTGGTGTTGACAAAACAGTTTTTTCCGGATGGACCTGTTGACAATCTCAAGCCGCCGCCTTATGTGTGTGTACTGTGTACCTGTCAATGCGCAGTTATATGAAGCTTTATCCTTCTGTAAGGATACTTATTCGTGCAACGACGCAAATTCGCAAATATGGCGTGAGTAGCGCGCTAATATACAAACCGGACGTCGCAGCACCAATGAATGGTTTTGTTACTTATAACTTCGAAGGTTTTTTTCCAGTAAGCCTTCCATATTCTGGGTTTGAGATAATAAATTTTGGATTAAAATTATATGGTGAACTCATTTTTATTAAAAAGTATTTTTGTGTAATAAAATAAAGTTAATTGGTTTAATTATCGAAGAAGGTATCGCGTAAGTTTTTTAATTAATTATATATTCTTTATTGCACAAATAAGTTATAAGAAAACACGTTTTGTCACGTAATTAACGGGCTAAATTAATTTTAATAAGATAATTTCTTTTTAATTACATAATAGCAATTAGATATGTATTTTAAAATCACAAACTTTAATATGTTGTAAAAGGTTCACTAATGGTTTTGATTAAAATTTATATTATTACTAACAGAACCCGCGGCTTCGCTTCGCTTCGCGCTAGAACTATAAAAGAAATATTACCCTATTTTCCCCCTTATGGAATGAATTTCTAAAAATGCTAAGACAAGTATTTATTTATTTGCATTGAAGAGTATTAATACCTAGTTTCAAGTAATTCTGATCATAAATATTTTTTGGGTTGTATTACATATTTTTTCTCGTGGGAATGAGATAATTGCCCGCGGTAAAAAGTACCCTATGTCAGTCTCCAGCCCTCCAACAATCTTCACGAAAAAAATATCGACAATCCGTCACTCTGTTTCGACGTGAAAGAAGGACAAACAAACAAACACACTTTCACATTTATAATAGTAGTATGGACTTGCTTTGGCTTGCTTCCTAATACAAACTATCATCCCCATTTTCAACCTCTTAAGTGGTGATTTCCGGGATAAAAAGTATCCTATGTCCTTCCCAGAGTCTCAAACTATCTTCTTACCAAATTTAATCTTAATCGGTTCAGTAGATCCATAGATTACCCCCCTACAACGTCACAACCTCACAAACTTTTATAATATTAGTGTAGATATGGATTGACTTTCCCCTTTATTAATTGTGCACATATTTAATATTACTCCTAGTTATATTTAGAATACTTTAATTGTACCAGTGCAGGAATGGACATTTGTACATGTGTTACAATTTTGCGTTTTGTTCCAGGTGATAGACACGGCGTGGGGTCCCACCGGCCATTATGTCAACTATGAAGAGATACAACAAAATTTAAAGTGAGACACTATTCTATAATTAGTTAGATCATATTTTAATAATAGTTAATCTATCATATTGTATCAATATTTCATATTAATAGTGGAAAAATTGTCAAGAAATAATTAATAATTCATTATTTAACTTATCTGGTACACGAGTGGTTTATAGCAGACATTTGTATTTTTTGTATTTAAAACCTTGAACATTAAAAAGTGTAAACAAGTTAATAAACTAAACAAGTTTATAATGAATAGGTTACATTTTATGAAAAAAAAAGGAATGACGTCGATGGAATTCCCCATCGACGCATTAATATCTGACGAAAATAGAATTTTAAATGACCAGTTTTAAAACAAACTTTTATTACCAACTTAACCTGCGTTGGGGATAAATTTTTTAAGGTATTTCCTTAGTGCTGAACTTTTTGATAATATAAAGAACTCTTAACATTTTCTTAGATTTAGGCGAATATTTGACATATATATAAAACAAAGTCGGGTTTGTTTCAACATTTATAACTCGAGAACTGCTGGACCGATTTTTACGATCTTTGCTTTGTTGGATATGTCTTCACCCCGAATAGGAGAATAACTATTAAACCATCGGAAAATTAAAAAAAAAAAGATAAAAATGTATTCCATACTAAGCGTCAAAACGAACTTAGGGACCAACCTGAGCGAAGCCAGGGTAAGTCGCTAGTTTTAAATAAAACATATGCAAATATTTTCATTTTTGATTCCTGACGATTCGAATAATAACTAACCAAATTAATATATCTCATTTTTTTCTTTTTTAAATTTTACGTCGCTTAATTAATATTCTAAACGCTTTAATTAAGTTTATACATATAATAAGAGCAAGGCTAAGTAAGATTTTACAAATATTATTTAATAAAGTTAAAAAAATTGTAATAATTATAATAATAGCACCTAAATTAAATAAATAATATCTACTACATATACATACATCCAATTATAAATATTTTTTATTTTTATCGACGTAAAACAGGTCTTGTGTATATGGAAATACCGGAACCAATATCTTAATTCGACTTTACACTATACTAAAGGGAGATTTAACTACTAACTTCATACTGTAGTTTAATTCTGTCGCATTGTTAATGAATCATTCTCATCGTTTTTTCTCTAACGCGCCAAAAGAAACATGTATAACTTCAAAAATGTTTAAAATTAAGGTTTAACAAATATTGTAAGAACCTTAGATGCCATTTTCCGGAAATGCAAAGGGGGTCAAAAATACATTTTTAAGGGCGAACCACAGTTATATCCGCCAACTCTAAAGCCGTTTACCTAACTGTCATACAACAATATGACAATCAGGAGCCACACTCGATTTCTCTATCTATATACGTTTTTAGAGGAATAAATAAATAAAGTACCTGGGCTACCGAGCTTCGCTCGGAGTTTTTGGCCTAAAGTACAATTTTTTTTAAACTAAAAACTTGAATAAATATAATAAAAACAAAAGTAAAAACTTTCCGACCGGGATTCGAACCCGGACACCTATGATTGTCAATCTTCCGCCTTGGCCGCTTGACCATGATGCTTATGCCCGAGCGTGCGTAATTATCGACCATATTTTCTTTCGTGAATAATGTGAAAGAAAACCGCATGAAAACACGAAAACACGCGTTTTCCCAGACATAAGATTAATCTAGATCGATTTATCGCCCCCGAAACCCCCTGTGCGGCACACAGCACGATTTAGTTCCATGGTAAGCCATGGCTTGTGTTATGGATACCAGATAGTTGATACACTATACATAGGTATATAACTTTAAATACGTACATATTATAAATATAAACACCCATGATTGGAGTACAAACATTTAGGCTTATCACACAAATAAATGCCCCCAGCGGGACTGGAACCCGTGACCGTTGGCACAGCAAATAGGGTAACTCAAACTGACCTTTATAGGCATTGTATTACAATATTGTACACAATTATTATTTTAAAAGAGTAGGTAACTGTTGAGTTTCTCGCCGGTTTTTCTCAGCAGAACTGCTTTTCGAGCCGGTGGTAGATTCATTTAATTTAAATTTAAAATGTTAAAATTGATGATTCAAAAGTGCTTGTAATAGTCTATTGGAATAAAGTATCTTTTGATTTGGTTTGAGCCAAACGTGTCGTCAAAGACTGTGTGTGCACGACGAGGTCCTAACATAGTGTGTGTGTGCGCAGCGCCCGCCGCGAGAAGCTCAGTGAAGTGCAGATCGGGCAGGTGCGGCGCACGCACGCGCCCGCGCCGCCGCACGCGCACCCGCACGCGCTGCACGACGACAGGTGACTTGCTCTCACTTGTTACTCACTTTTAGTTATATTTCTTACATTTTACTAACTTGTTACGCTTTTATTTACATTTTAAATATCAACTTGTTAGTACCTTTTATTTACATTTTATGTTATTTCGAAAGTCTTTCCGATTCGATGTTTGTAATCGTTTTTTTAAGGCAGTGGTAGCCCAGTGGTAACGCGCTCGCTTGGGAAACCCAGTGGAACGAGTTCAAATCCCGGGTCTCGCACCTCTGATATTTTCATGTGTGAATCATTTCCAACGTGACTACCACTTGTCTTAACGGTGAAGGAAAATATCTTGAGGAAACTTGCATGTCTGAGAGAAATTAGCAAGTTTTCAAAAGACATGTGAAGTCCACCAACCCGCACTTGGCCAGCGTGGTGGACTATGGCCTGAACTACTACTACTACGGCCCCCTCGTTTTGAAGGGAGGCCCATGCCCAGCAGTGGCACGTTAAAAAGGGCTGAATACAATCAATTTTCAAAAAGCTTGGTAGTAATCGATTATTCCGAAAATCTGTGTACTTGGATAGAATAGAAAGTTGATCATAGAAGTTTTTAAAACTACGTTTCTACGTTAAACTGTTAGTTTGTATTTTTATGTGCATAACAGACAATTCTTCGACCCTGTTTTTAGGAACTACTTAGTAAACGTATACACAAAACCAAGCAATTAATAAAAAGTTAAAACCTTAGTGTTTATTGTAGTATATAGTTATTTATGAAAAAATATATGTACCTACTTTAAAAACAACATTCAAATATTATAGATATTTCATTAATATATAAAAAAAACTAAATCTTTAAAACAGGATATATAATACATAAGTGTGAAATAAATAAACAGTAATTATGGTTTTAAAAAACTAAAAAAAATATACGTCATCGTCCACTTTAATTGATCTATGCCAGGAGTCGTGACTTTTCAAAACGAATGAAGTCAGTCCAAGTATTACTACTCGATTATTGTTTTGTCATTCGGATTTTACGTACAAGTTTCAAATCGATTTAACTATGTATTGGTAGAAACTTAAAAATTGACTTTCGAATTCCGAATGCGAATCGAATAAGATTTGATTACTCAGCAGTCTAAATACATTCTAATGATCATTCTAATAATAGCATGTTAAAAATAAAACATTTAATCGATAATAAAACAAGACCTATATAAAAGGTCAAATGCATCACTATTCATTATTTACAAAAGTAACAGTCATATTTGAAATTATTATGCAAACAGATTATAATTCATACATATAATAAAATTCTTACTGGGTCAAATCTGTACATTAAATACTTTTTTTGGAAAATCTTATTGAAATATAATTATTATCGATACAGAGGCCGAATCTATAGTTTTTAGAATTTTTGTCTCTCTGTCTTTTACCGCACCTCGAAAAAACCACTGAACAAATTTTGATGATATTTGGTATGATGATAGCTGGTTACCCGCGTCAACATATAGAATACTTTTTACTGTGGGAAAATATCTCATCTCTGAGCTAAACGTTAAAACGTAACTAGGGACGAATGCGACAGGAGTGACTAAGTCGCTAGTTACCTATATTAATTATTTTTATAAATGTAATAAAAATATGTACTGCATAATTTGTCTAGTTTTTATGAGGGTAACGCACACGTTGCCCTGATAAATATATATAGATATATTTAAAAAATATACATAAATAATTACGAAGTGTAAATAATTTCGTGTTAGTTTAGTTTTTGCAACTCATTTGCTGACACAGTGAGATACACAACAACTTTCGCCTTAACTAAAATATATAATCAATCTCTATTAATTGGAATACAATATAACGTTTTCAAATATTGTTAAGTGATGTTGCGTTATTTTTTGTTATTCTAGGATTAATTCTAAATATATAAAAGAAATAAATTTTATGTATATATGTAATTTTTGTTGCAAAACTAAATAAAAAGGATTTTACTATGAAATTAACCCTTAGAATAAGACCAAACTAATCAAAATTCAAAATACAATTTTTATAATTTATGTTTTTAGAGTTTATCAGATTTTTAAACTTAAAAGGCGTGTAAAATGCTAAAAATTATATACCTATGGATGTGGAAAATATCTCAAGGTTAAACGTCAGCTTTAACTTATCGTATAGCCTCAATAAAAGTTAAATTCCTTTGTAATCAATGCAATATTTTATATTATTTGAAATATTAAATATAATATTTGTATATAAAGTCTTAGTTATATAATTATATATTTTTATTTTTAGTAATATATTACTATGCAGTAGCGGTCATTCTAATTTAGTAGGTAGCTTTTGTATTATTTTTAATTAATAATACACATAGAATGAGAAACTATTTTATTAACAATCACATTTGCATTTCAAATCTTCTTAAGAGGGAAGTAGTCTATTAAAATATTTTAAATACGATTACAATTGGAAATAACATACTTAACGTCCAATTTATGTACATATATAAACTAGCCGGAAATAGAGTCTCTCAACATCTTTTTTAAAAGTCGGATCTAAATGACTGATAATGTAAAGACAAATGATAAATGACTGAAAGTAAAACTGATATTAAGCGATTATAATTAAAATGTTTAGTTAAAAATATATATTTGAAACTAACTAGTTTCAAATATTTTTTTTTAACTAAACAAATTTCAATATAACGAAACTTCGTTATATTGAAATTTACCTAACAACTAAAAATAATTATATTTTAACTACTATTTCTATAATTAATTATTTAAAAGAATATTTAAGACAAGTACACGACTTAAAATACCATTTTGCAATATAATAATTATATATAATAATGTGAACCTCCAATATTAACTATACGCTCTGTTTCGTGCGGCCGGCGCGGTAAGATGCGAGTACTTTGTAACGCACTAATTGCTTAACTTTGTGCTTGTCCTATCTATCATGAACCGTCGCAATACACTTGTTCCATTAAATAATTGCTTAGATAACGTGTTAATTCCGCTCTTTCCTTTATTAAGAGAGTTGATGTTTTTGTCCATTAGTATAATATGTTAGCTCTACCCAATCCTCTTAATGGTATCGTTTATGTATAAAAAACCGTAGACATATTTTTAGGTAAAATTATGCTCAAAGAAGGTTTGTATACATTTTAATAAAATTGATTGTAAAATGATAGGTACCTTGTCCGAGAATAACATTAACACACGATTTAGAATTTCATTTTCATATGTAACATTATAAAATGCTACATGAATATTTATTACATCTTACTATCCATATCCATACTAATATTATAAATGTGAAAGTGTGTTTGTTTGTTTGTTTGTTTGTTTGTTTGTCTTTTTTTCACGTCGAAATGGAGTGACTTATTGTCGTAATTTTTTGTGTGGAGATAGTTGGAAGGCTGGAGAGTGACATAGGCTACTTTTTACCGGGGGAGATAATCTCGTTCCTATGGGAAAACACGTATTTAAATACAACCCAAAAAAAACGTATAATACAACCCAAAAAATATTTATGATCACTTGAAACTTGGTATTAATGCTCTTCAATACAATTAAATAGGTACGCGTTTATGCATTTTTCATTTTTTTTAGTAAAATAGAGCAAGAAAGTTTGTATAAAACCTATCTTTTTTTTTAAATGTAGTTTTAGCGCGAGCGAAGCCGCGGGTTCTGCTAGTAATATTTTAAATGTGAAGTTTAGATAGATGTTTGGATGTTTGTTATTCAATCACGCTAGAACGGCTGAATGGATCTGGATGAAATTTGACACAGAGATTTTTATCCCGGAAACGGTTCTCGTGGGATAGATTTGTTTGGGTTTTTCTAAAAGCAAACCCAAGTGAAGCAGGGTATAAATAATAGTAATTTGACTCATGCTTTGAGAAAAAATACAAAGCTTTTTTAGTCAAAAAATGTAAAAAAAGGTTCAATAAAAAAACTCCATTGGAATTCGATCACTCCGCAGATAGATATACATACAAAAAAAACGTTCTATCGTAACATATACATTCACACCTTATTATTATTTGATACGTAATTATTGTCATTTGAAATTCGTCATGTGTTCCTTATGCTGTTTTTTAATGTCTTCTGTTGTAATCGTGTTGTTTATTGCTTCATATCTACACATATAATAAAATTCTATGTCGAATCTGTACATTAAATATTTTTTGGAAAATCCTATTGCAATAGACATTATTATCGATACAGAGGCCAAATCTATAGTTTTTTGGAATTTTTGTCTGTTACCGCATCACAGAAAAGCTACTGGAGGGATTTTGATGAAATTTGGCATGATGATAACTGGTTATCCGGGTCAACATATAGGATACTTTTTATTGCGGGAAAATATGTCATCTCTGAGAAAAAATACAAAAATTGCAAAAAATAAGAGTGATGAATTTGAACGCGGGCGGAGCCGCGGGCAATGCTAGTCATTTATAAAAAAACATGTTATGTTTTATGTTCTAATAAATTAAATAGCTTGAATGCAGAATACTTGAAGAGCTGTTTGTGAGATGTTTTGTAGAGTATAAGTTATTGATGTATTTAAATTTCACTTTACGAACACTCTATCTATTATCAAAAGTTTTTTCAAACCCGATCATAATTAATTTAAAAATATGACATTTTTTATGCAATCAATTGAATTGAAGACTATGGTCACGGTAATATTACATTAGATTACCGAGCTATGGTGGTCAATTATAAAGATTTGAATTACATTTCTTTGAAACCATAATAAGATACAAGATTTTTATTACACAATAATAATACGTATTCGCAGTAATAAAATACTGATTTGAAGCAATATTTTATTTATAAAAATATATTAGCGACTCACCCTCGCTTCGCTCTGGTTCGTCCCTAGACTAGTTTTAGTTTTTTTGAGCGGAACCCTAATCCTCTTTCTAAAATAAAAGTAGCCTATGTTACTCCCTATAACATCAGCTATCTTCCAGTGAAAGTCCCGTTAAAATCAGTCAAGCCGTTTCAGAGATTATCCGGAACAAACAGACAGACAGACAAAAATTTTAAAATTGTGTTTTTCTTATAAGTACCGTATATAATTTCATATGCATTTAGTGAAACGCTGTTATTTTAACATTACAAACAGACACTTCATTTTTATATATCTGTATAGATTTAATGAAAACATTTGTCTACAGACGACCAACCCAGTACAACCAGCGCTCCAGCAAAGAAGGCATACGGCCGCAGTCCAACTACTACGAGTACGACAGCGCGCCGCCGCGCCGCCCCGGCAAGCTCTCGCACTACCACTGACCGGAGCGCACGGCAGGACGCGCTCGTGCTGGACATTGTCATACTTACGGAGGACCTCAGAGAACATTCCGGAAACCAGGTTTATGCTTTTTTGTTGTAAAATCAACTAGAAGTTATAACATGATTATTTTAATACAAGTTACAATGGCATTTGAAAATGGCAGACTTTCGAATTCTATATTAGATAAATAGAAGAAAATGAAATTCTTTCTTTTCAAATGTTATTAAAACTTATCCTAAAGAGACTTTAGGATGAAGATAAGTGAAATAATCGTGTAGAAACATCTTAAGTTACTTGGTTTGATGATTCTGAGTTCACTGAATACGACATAACTGTTATAACTTGTGCCATTGGTTTAGCTCTCGATAATGAAAATTCAGCTGTGTTTATTGTTTTATATATACATATAAAACTATGAAAATATATCTGAAACTTCTAAATGTTAAAACGAAACAAACAAATAGGTGTTGTTTGTTAATTGCGATTGTATTCTCAATTTCGATAGAATAGATATATTGTTCTAATAAAAAAATGGGCTATGAAAAGTAATGTATTAGATATGTAAGCTGCTTTCCACTGAGTGGAAATACTGATATTGTTCTACGTCAAGGTTATAACTAATTGAGGGAACATACAGTCGAGAATGATTAGAATTAAGGCTATGATTTTTAATATTTAGCTATAGTGTGAATGAGATGCTACTTGAAAAATATGAAAAATCTACTTGGACATGTTTACTATAGACTTTTTTATATCAGAATTTTCCGTCTAGATTTTATATTTTTTTATTACAAACTAGCTTTTGCCCGCGGTTTCGTTTGCGTCGTTTATTTATGTAGAATTCCTCCTCCTTAAGGTCGTATCGTGATGTCATATGGCCTATAATCTTAATATGTTAGCTATAGGCAAAAATATTTTTTTTAAATCGAACGGATACTTCTAAACCCGTTTTTATATACATAAATCTATAACAAATATTGATTATTTGGTGCCATTCCTGTCAGGTAGCTACTACACCATGAGAGATCTGTGATGATGATGTTAAAATACCATCATTATTTTTCAGTAATGATCCAAGTGTTTCGGTGTAAAGTACAATTAGACATTTAATTTTGATTAAAATTATTAATGAGGAAAATGAAAAATGTTTTTTTTTAAATGTTACGTTGGAACATTCCAAAAAAATATAATAATTAGTGTATGAAAACTTTCTACTTTGTTATTCTGTTCTATGTCCATACTTTTTTACTTTATTTGTAAGTAGTTCAATTTTAGAGCCAAGCGGTAGTTCAATTTTCATCCAATCATGTTAAAAGCCATTTAATATTGCACTACTTTTTGTCCGTGACTTCGTTATTTTTTATTACTCAGGAATAATGTAGAAAGAATTACTTATTGGGATTGGTTCACTAGTTATGGCGAATTCTTTCTAGCTACAAACAAACAAACAAACATATAACTTTTTATAATACTGTCACACATGCACTTATAAAAAGTTAATGAATCATAATAAATTTCATTTTATTTAATTAAAATAGAAATATGTATTGATTTAAAATTCTATGTAATTGGGTTATTTTATAAAATTATTCGAATAATTGATGCTATGATTGTTATGATTTTTATTATCATTCCATTATAAAATTTATAATTGTTTAATTCTCATTTTAAATGATTCAAATTCAAATATTGATTTGTAATTTTATGATTTTGACCGTAATGTTCAGAAACATACTAGTATTAAAAATGCAAGAAATTGTGAATTGATTCCATAAAATATTATTTGAAAGTAGGTCCCGTTTTACTGATATAGTATGGAATTATTGTAAAAGTACATGTCATTTGTATTGTCATATCGCTCGTTTATTTTAGATTTTTTTTTATTTGTTTAAAAATGCTTAATTCTGTACATGAGATTTTCATATATTTTTTTAAGATTGTATAAAGTAAATTAAGTATGAAGACCATTTTTATAGCAAATATAATGCTTATAGTGCTACAGTCTCATATTACTTTGTCTTTATTATTCGATCAAAATATTGATGGAGAGCTTTCGCGTTTTAGCGTTACTGTAAATATTATGCATTCCAATTATATGATTCCGAGTTTAAGTTCGTAAATCAAAGAAGCTTTAAAGTGTACGTTAGTTTGTAAGGAAGCTTTATTCAAACAAACTATTATGGTACTTAACATCTCCAGGTAAATTTCTGAGAAATTAATTAATTTTCTAAGAAATCTATTGTTAACTGTAAAGCCGGCGTTTCCGCGGTCGTGGAGGGATTAAATTCGACTGAGATAAGACTTTCCAAGTTGAAGGCCACACTTCTGACTCCACACATGCACGAAACGTTAAGCACGTTTCGATTTCCGAATACGGAATACATGGACCAGTTTCCATACAAGTGTTATGAATTATTTCCGAATAGAAAGTATAACATACATATTATGCAGAATATTTTGTTAGTAATGAGTGCATTTTGGGTACTCGGAAAACATATTCGGAAATCGAATCGAGTGCAACCTTCAAGTATTCTTGTATTTCAATTTAAGACCAAAATAAAATTTCTCTGAAAATGTTAATTTATTGCTATACTCTGATTCTACTTATCATTGTGATATTTACGGTAATGAGAGATATGCAGGTGTGTTTTGGTAATAAGTTTAGGTTTTATATTTTTAATAAAATATTAGTTTCTCATGTAAATATTTTATTGTTGCGTCGTATTGCGAGTCCAATTTATTTTATATATAAAATGACTCCATTCCATGTGAATTTTTAGATAAACAAATTGAATGCAAAGATATTTTGCATACGAGTGCCTATATATGTATGTAAATAGATGTGTCCATTCATCGTGTAGGTATTTGTATATTTTTAGAGATATAAACAATGCGATCGGCCATCGTACCTTAAAATAAATAAGTATTATCTCTGATTTTATTTTGTTTTATTTTTCCTGTTCTAGCTTACAACTTAATAAATAATATAATGCAGCTAATTAATATTATAAAAAATATCTGGAGAATTAAAGCTTAAAACTACTATTAATAGATATTCTTTCGTTTAGTCATCTATAAAAAATATATTAAACCATCAATTTTTTTTTAATGGCGTAGAGTTGCGTTAACAGACGCAATACATTCTGCCAGTGTCACATACCTGTGAGGAAGACACGAATGAGTTTGTTGTTATGGAATTAAAACGATGAATGAATGATCAGTCACCGTCAATTATTATTATTAGAATGAAATCTATATCTACTGACTTATATATATATATATATATTTATATATATATATATATATATATATATATATATATATAAATAAGGAGTCTCGTGATATCAAAAAGCTAGGGATTTTCCGGGCGTATTAGTCAAGTAGATCGTGCTGACGTGAGGATGGGATAGTATATCTTAGACCCTAGTAAATCCATTGTAATTGGGATTATTCTGATAAAGTTTAATTTCGTTATTTTATTTGTTATCAACAACAGATCGGATAAAAATCTGCAATTCTTATAAGATTCACTCGCACTTTGATACTTGTAAAAAACATTAATAATGTTGAGTTTTCAATGTTTAAAGTATAACTGACCTTGTAATGTCATTTTATTATTGTGTGGCTTTTTAGTTAAAAATATGAGGGTAAAGTCTAATGATAATTTAGTGATAATTCTTTTATGTCATAGAGGAAGGAACTGTCTGTCGTCTGTATACAGGCTCGAGTACAGTCGGCAATGACAAACCGATATAAGTAACATAAATTATAATAAGCTTTATTTTGCGCTCAGTGTAAATTTAGTGTCAAAACTTATTGCTAATAAACTTTTATTATTATTATTATTTCTGTCTGTCCGATACAGTTAAATTGTAAAAAATCATTAAACCGTAACAGCTTAATGATTTTTTTTAAAAAGATGTAAAGACATGGGATAATACCAAAGTTATATATAAACCAATTAAGAATGTTCGTTTTAACTATTGTCGAGGCAAGCAAAAAATATGAAATAAACTTTAAAATACCAGTCGACCTGGATCATAAAACCTCTTACTTTTTAAAAGTCAGTTTAAAATTCATGATGTTATCTAAGCCATATTAAAATATACGTATCTGAGTGTTATAATTTTATAACGCACTAGCGACTCACCCTCCCTTCGCTTGCGGGTTCGTCTCTAGCCAGAAACAAATCTATCCCACGGGAACCGTACATTTTCCCGGGATGATATATAACCTATAGCTTCCCTCAAAAAACGGGCTATCTAACGCAAAAATAAATTTTCAAATCGGATTAGTAGTTCTTGACTGACTGACTGAACGCGCTATGATCAAACAAACAAATTGTCTGTATAATATAAGTATAGGTTAAAAATTATGCAATCTTAAAAGATGTTAAAGAAAATATATGCACATAAACATACCCTTATTATCTCTGAAGTATTTTGCATATTTAATAGAAAATAAAGGCTCTTTAGATTGCACGAAAAACTTACAAAAACCTAAATTTTAAATTATAATGTATGAAACCCGGCTTCAGACGACTTCCACATGACTTGAACAAATCTTTATAATTTCTTTATAGGCAGTGGTAGCCCAATAGTAACGCGCTCGCTTGGGAAAGCGAGTGAAGCGGGTTCAAATCCTGGGTCTCACACCTGTGATACGATTCGACGATATGTTTGGCTCAGTTTGTAGTGACCCTACTTGCTGTGCCAGCGGCCGCGGGTTCGAGTCCCGCTGGGGGCATTCATTTGTGTGATGTGCACAAATGTTTGTACTCCAGTCATGGGTGTTTATATTTATAATATGTATGTATTTAAAGGTATATATGTGTATTGTATGAACTATCTGGTACCCATAACACATGCCTCGTAACTTATCATGGAACCAGATGGTGCTGTATGTTAATATCCCAACATATTTATTTGTGATATTTTCAAGTACGAATTGTTTCCACCACGGTTACCACTTGTCTTACGGTGAAAGAAAACATCGT